GTGGAAATGACGATGGCACTCATGACCAAAAAAATTAAAATCTTGGCATTTTAATAACCAAGCTGCTCTCTTCTCTGGACTACAATCAAATATTTCTATTTCAAACACAGCTACAGAGCTGGCTTTTCTCTTCACCTTCTTTAGCCCACCCCTTCCTCCTACCTTTCCCCATATGGAGGCGCGCGCGTGCACACACATGCAGGCACACGCAAATGCACTTAGTGCCTTTTACATAACCAGTTGACAAGATTGATCTTTCACTTGAACTGCTTTGATTCAAAATCTGCCCACCATTTGTGGGAGGCAGGGAGTGGCGGTAGCGACGTGTGCTTTACTGAAGAGACTAAAAGGAACGGCATGGGAGAGGCATCTGGCGTCTGGACTGAGTCTTTTCCATATAGTCTTGGTTTTCTATAGACAAATAGAGAGTGCTATGAAATTCAACATAAATTCTCTCATTTTAAACCCATAACTCTTAGATTTGGGGAGAAACGATTGCCAGGTTAACCCTTACTTACACTGAACTTTGTAACCAGACACCCTGTTCAAAAGCTCCTCATGTTTCCTTTATTGCTGATGTTCATCTTATGTCTAAATGGCACACCCTGACCTCCGCAGTGCCACAATCTGGCCCCTTTTACATTTACAAGATTTTCTCTCCCCACTTCCCTCCACAAATCCTCTGGGGAAAAAAGGTCCATTTCAAAAGATTATATAAGATTCCATTTGTGCAATATTCTTGAAAGGACAAAATTTTAGAGGTAACTTGCAGATTGGTAGCTACCTAGGGTTAGGGACTAGGGAAGCGAGAATAGATGTGGCTTTAAAGGGATGACATGAGCGAGTCTGGTGATTATAGCACAATTATGAGTCTTCATTGTGGTCATGGCTACAAAACATATACATGTGATAAAGCCACCTAGACATGAAACATATGCCAACAGATACACGTATAAGTGGTGAAATCTGAATAAATTCTTTGGATTGTACAGTATCAGTTTCCTAGTTATTTAAGATGTAACCATGAGAGAAACACAAAATATAAGCAAACACAGAAACTTTTTCTCAAATTCTTATGATTTTATAATTACTTCAAAAATCAGTGCTAAAGTGTGGTTAACCTTTTAACAGAAAAAGAGTAAAGCTTTTAGTGAAAGTTTAAAATTATGGTTCAGGTAGTATTTCTTATAAAGAATCCTCTTAAAATTATCAAAGCATGTAACTACAAAGCTAAAATTGTAGTACCACAGATGTATGTGTTTCAAACAAAACTTTTCTCAGTGAAATTTGGCTCAGTGATATACAAGTTGCTTTAGAATTTAAACAAGGATTTCAGAATGGGAGAGGTAGGTTCTTATCAATATAAACATGCTCTATCCTGAAATGACAAATTCTGAAATGTCAAACAATAGTAGCTGGATCATCCTAAAAAGTTATCTAAAAACAAAACAAGACATCCAAACAAGCAAACAATCAAATAAACCACACTGAACTTCTGTTCTGAATGATTTGCTCTTATGATGAAAGGTCCAGGTATGCAGGTACATCTGTCACATGTAGCTCTCTTGTGTGTGGTTGCAGAATTCCCATAAAATTAACATCGTGTGATTGACTCTGAGACCAATGACACATGCAAAACTAAAGCAAAAGAATTCTTGAGGCTTAACAAGTCACAACTGTAAAAACACCAAGAAGCAGAATAGTCCTGTGATTTATATTAAGGACAGTCTCTAGGATAAATGTTCGGTGGACTCTTGCTCCCTTGGACTAACACTAATGTTTGAATGGATGAATGTGCTAGTGAAATTTTTTCTGATCTTCAGCCTTGAAACAAAACTCAATTCAAAGAAAGATTGTTGTGCAGTGATGGTGAAAATGTAGTAGTGGCTTTGAGCATCGTCCTTACAGAATTCAGATGCTTTCCATTAGCATATATTAATTATTTCTGAAATCCCAATTTCATGAGTTCTTGATAAATGGATGGTAATTTTAGATGAGAATATAAATTAATGTTAAAATATTATAGGGCATTATATAAGAAAAAATCATTCTACTTATTTTTCAGAGTTATGATTAGGTCAGGTAGGTTAGAGTGATGATTGGCAGGTTAGTTATGATTAGGTAGCTTAAAGTGATGATTAACAAGTGGGTTAGAGTTATGTTTAGGTCAGAGTTATGATTAGGTCCACTGCCAGGTAGCTCCTGATAGCAGGACTGGACCTGAAAGATGCCCATCAGGTTAACAAAATGGGAAGCAGACGTGGCCAAATGATTCACACCCCAAGATGCAATCATTAAGCCTGGAACTAGAGCAGCATTGGTGGCCTGAATATGAATAAGCTAAGTTGGCGTATGCATGGCTCTCACCACTCAACACAAGGTCTGCATTTTTATAATTTTTAGAATTCTAAATGAGAGGGGGAAATTAGAACTTTTCCCCCTCATTTATGGTCTGTTTCCCCTGACACCTCTTCTGGCTTCTGCACCTTGTGTACCAGGGCTAGAGGAGGTGTTTAGTGAGCATTTGTTGGCTAAACGAGTACCTCTTCACTTCACAGCAATTTGATGGTTTTTTGACTACTAGATACTTCAAATTCTGATGAAAGCTACAAACCCTTGGAAAAATGGAAAAACACTATGTTTTAGCTTCTAATGGGTTTGTGGGTCCTCTCTTGGAAACTTTGCCTATGGAAACCATTTTCAAGGATAAAAATAGCATGCCCACAATTAATTGCTAACTTCCTTGCCTGGTTCCTCTAGATATTCTCCAGATTGTTTATCCAAACCAGCTACCTTCCTTATCTCATGGCATTGTTTTTATTTTTTACCACTTGTCACCCTTAACAAATAGTCTATGTATGCATATCATATTTTAGGGACAGCAACCTAAAAAGACAATTCAACTAATAAAAATATTTCTATCATTTTTTATGAAGCATAGAGTCTCCATTTCAGTATTAAGAAAGCTTGGCATTATTTCATAATCTCTTTAATAAAGGTCACTCTGTAAAATCTGAAAGAGAAGGGTAAATCAAATTCACACACACACACACACACACACACACACACACACCCTACCTGACTGTTACAGGCAGAGTGGTTTAGAATAAGAGAGGTAGGGAGAAGTCCTCTTCTTTGGTCATCACAAATAATGGATATCTCAAAGTATATGGAGACCTTGCTGGCTAACTTGCTATCAGAGAAGAGCTGTGCTCAGTTGCCAATATTGAAAGACACCCAAGAGAATCCTGCTCCTACGCTGCACTTTTGGAAAACACAAACAGTTATCAATCTGAATTGAGCTGTGTTGACAGGAAAACCTAAATAGAAAGGTTCTGACTTCTAAAAGCCCTCATAAGACCAAAGCCTTCCAACGCAGTCATCCTCAAGCAACTATGAAACACTGCCACAAGAAACCAGCACCGATACTTTTGATTCCTTCTGATTTGCAGTAAGAAAGTTTATAGTGCCACAAAATGCTAGAGACTACCATTCATGCCACTTTCTTTGATCTTCCAGGAGCAGTGTCTTTCTCCTGGGAGCACTCCCAGAGGGAGGCAGCAGCTTATCTCCTTCTCAGCAGCTGAAATGCGCGCAGAGAGGGCAGCACCACGTCCACAGGGCAGGAGCTGGGTGTGCGCCACAGCAGCAGCATTTGGAAGGGCCAGTGCACTGGAGACTGCGGACTCATGTAGAGAACGCCACTGCTAGGTTCCCCCCTCCACCAGGGGAATATCCAGAAAGGCAGCGGTGTTGCTGACACTTCAGTGAATTGCTAAGGGTCAGAGTTTGTACTGCATTTGGGCAAAGGGCTTTAGCTACAATTGCTTTGTTTTCACTTAAGGGCTTTCTTTCTCAGTGGCTCAAAAATACATCCAAACAACAGTGCTTTACTACCTGCACTGAAAAGCTTTACTGCTACTCTGCAAAGAAACTTTTTCAGGGCACTTTTTAAAGAAATGGGTTTGAATGGTTATTTCAGCAACCGCACATAGGCAGCACAGATGCAGGTGTGCATTATTTTAATTGCATGAAGTTCATCCTACCCTAAAACCTGATTCCTAACAAAGATGAGAGAGAGCTAAATGTAAACAATTAGCAAAACCCTACCTGCAACTTAGAGTAACACAAACCTTTGGAAGATTTCTCAGTAGATTTTCTCCTTTATATCTAGTTTTAGAAACTAGAAGCAGAGCAGTTTTAAAGAAATAAAGTCAAGACGGACTGGTGCAAAGCACAAATAATGAGAAGGCAGAAACCACATCATTGAATAATTACATTTTTTACTTATCAAGTTGAAGTCATTCTCTATTTTTAAAAACCAGCTATTACCAGGAAGATTTCCATCTTTCAAAAACAATATAGAGCAGGAAGGAGCTTAAATATTTGAAGGAATTGGTGGTATTGCAACAATGTACCTTTCCTCCTTATTTCACATCCACACTTTATTTCATGCAGGAATTTAGATTTACCTATGACAGTGTTCACTCTAATTTATACGTATTTCTTCTACACCAAAACTTCCTTAAAATCTTTGTGTATGTAGCATTTGGTATTGGTCTTTCAAAAGATAAATAAGAGCACAGTACTAGATAGGCAACTATTTCTGGTCGTATAATCGCAGAAACTACAGATGTGGCCTAAAATAAAAAAAAAAAAAAAAAAACTGCTCCTAAAAATGTTCTGTTGAAAAAGCCATTTTCCAGCAGTTGTGTTTCTCGGGACTTCAGCAGACTGAAATTTGTATAGTTCCTATGGTGTTCATAGCACTTAGTCTATACAAAATGGGCCACAACTTTTAAACACACACACACACACACACACACACACACACACACTCCACTTTGAGCGTCTCCTAAAGAGCTATTTAAAAACACCTGAGAATTCTAAATTAAGCAACCCACCATAAGTAAGTCACTTTTCCAAAGCGATGGACTGCCTGCACTCCCTGCACCTGTACCGAACACGGAAACCCGGCAGAGGGAATCTTACATCCATACCTATATTTCATGCCAGTCTGCTTTGCGGTGGACTCTTTCAGAGAAATGTGATGCTGGGGGGTGAACGTCCCCAGGCTGCGCGCGATGATAGCGACCGTGCGGAATTTGGCCCGGGCCGCGCTCACCACATTGGGGGCGGTGGAGCTCTGCTTGCTCAGAAGTCGGTCCTCACCATTCCGACTCTTCAAATTGTGCTCAGTGCAGGCTATGGAGACTTGCATTGCTCCCCCGGAAAGCGCACGGTCCCTCCGAGAACCCCGCAGCACCGGCAGTCGGGAGAGGCTGAGCAGCCGCGGGTTCTGCTCGCCGCCAAGCCCTCCTCGGCCCGCTCCCCGGGGACGCCGTCGGAGGAGTCCTGCCGGCTGGCTTCAGGGCGGCCGAGCGGCAGCGGTGGCTGCGCCGCAGAACGGAGTCCCCGGGACCCGGAGGAGTACACCGCCAGCCCCGAAGTTGTCACAGCAGTTGCGGCGCGGATGCAGCTCCCCGGTCTTCCCCGGCAGTAGTCTCGGCGGATCACACAGCCCGATGCGCGCAGTCGGAGGCTCTTCCCGCAGCCTGCAGCCCGGCATTCACGGGGACTGACACGGCCCTGCGCGAGCGGGTCCGCGGCGCCCCACTGCAGGCTGGCCCTGGGCGCCGGCTCCGTCAGCGCAGCCACACCGCAGCGCGCGCC